AGTAAAAATTGTGTGTTGGATTGTTGAACAAAAGTTTCAAGATTTTTACTTAAATAAAAAACCAATAACTTTGATTGTTGCTGTGATTTCTGATTCAACAAATTTTCTAAATTCGCCAAATTTTCGATAAAATTTGCAAGAGAGAGAGAGAGAGAGAGTTAGAGAAAATTATGTATGTAAAAGTCCAAATATTTCAGCAGGAATATCTCAAACAAATAATTTGGCTCAAAATACAAAAATTTGAGCAAAAATTTTTAAAAAATTGGAGCAACAATTTTCAAAAAATTTGATTTGGGTCAAGGTCCAAATATTTCCGCAGAAAGTTTTATGTCCCAGTAAAATATTTCAAAAGAAAATAATTTGGGTCAAAATCATAATATTTTCAGCAATAATTCAAGAAACTGCAAAAAATGCCACGGAAGAAATTTTTTTTCCCAAAAAGTTATGTGTCACAAAATCAAAAAAAAAAAAAAAAGGATACCAGCAAAATATTTCTGCGAAAAATGCAGGTAATTAATTTTGGGTCACAGAAAATTTTTTAAGCTCCTTAGAGCAATTGATATTGTGCTAAATGGGAAAAAGGTTAAGATTAGAATAAAAAATTAAAAATTGTAAATATATGGGATCGATTTTATATGTGTCCACCAGACTCCGATATAAAATTTGTTCTCCAAAATTTAAAATAAATTTGTAGTTTAAGTTTCAAATGTATGTCTGTCCACCAGACGTTTGCTTGTTTGCCAATTTTTTTTTCCAAAAAATTGTATGTTTTGTATCACATTTATGTCTCTCCACCAGACGCTTGCTTGATTTTCAATTTTTTTTATCAAAAATTTCAAAAAAATTTAGGTTATTTTTCGTCTGTCCACCAGACGCTTTTTTCAAACGGTTGTTATTTACTCGTTTATGTTTTTGGGTGACGCCAAATTTTTCCTAAAAATATGGCGATAATATACTGAGGGTTTGTTTCCAATATATATATATATATATATATATATATATATATATATATATATATATATATATATATATATATATATATATATATATATATATATATATATATATACATATATATATATATATATATATATATATATATATATATATATATATATATATATATCAAATGTATCAAAAATAAGTCGTTGTTGCCTTCCTGGCCAGACTAAGATGCTTTCCTCACTGAAAGAATACAAACTTTGCAATATATTCAACATATGCGTAGAAATCTGCCCAATAACATTGTTTCTCCTAGATTCTTGCCTAAATCGTTGTCATCCAAGAGTGTTTCACCTCATCACTCCTCCACTAGGTCGTTAGCATGCTAGCACATCTAATTCCACCATTAACAAGCCATTGGTACATGAGCCAAAATGTGTTGCACCATCTCCTCGGCCAAACACTTATTGCTCCATTTGCCCTTACGAGAGTCATGTTCTTCGACTCTGCCCCAAGTTTATACAACTTTCGTTTGGGGACAAATTCTTAATTGTGAAAAAGAATAAGTGTTGTATAAATTGTCTTTCGCGTGGCCATGTAGTTAAAAATTGTCATAGCACAAATAGTTGCAAATCTTGCAAGCAAAGGCCTCACAGCCTTCTTCACCGGCCACAAACTAGTAGAGTTGTTGCAGCATTATGCTCAAACCCATCTCTGGTTTCCAACAATATTAAAAGTCCAAAATCTTCGCGGTTCTGTAAGTCTGCTCAAAATATAGTTTCGGATTCTAAAAAAATACCACCGGCTTTTACTCAAGTCAAAAGTCGAGGTTCAAAGTCCCTACTTTTACGAAGGTCAAAAGTCGAGGTCCTAAGCCTTCTAAAATGCACCCACTCTTTGCAAAAAAATAATTCGAATGACCAGTCTCCCAACACTATTGAAGATCATGTGCTCTTGGGAACTGCAGTAGTAAATATGGTTCACAATGGGAAAAGTTATACTGCTCGTGCTAGAATAGACCCTTCTTCAAAGGCATCTATTATAAGTAAGAAACTTAACAATGCACTTTGTATTTCAACTTGTTCTTTGACAAACAAATCTAAATCTACATCGTGGAGAGAAGTCTGTTCTCTTAAGTTGTCTTCCCCTAGAAACGCATCTAGAATTGTGGAAACAAAAGCGTTAATCTAGCCTAAGGTCAAATTAAAGTTGTTCTCGTCACCACATACTTGTAATTTAAAGACTCGAATTCCTGATCTTGAATTAGCGGATTCTTTCGATGACAGCCCAATTGATTTGCTACTTGGCGCTGACCTTTACCCTAAGATTATTGAAGCTGATCCGCCCAAGATTGTTTTAGATTCGTTGCTAGCCCAAAAGTCTATTTTCGGGTATATCCTCACCGGTTCAGTACCTTCCGCGACTGTTACAGAATCTCGCACCAAAACTTGAAGTCGACCATTTCTTAAAACAATGTATATCGCTTAAAATTTAAAAATATCACATGCACTGAACATTGAAATTGTAAAACTGAATTAAATCGTTCGTGTCATAATTTGAAAATCTGCAACTATAGCTCACTTAAGAATCTGAATTTACGTTCACTCCTAACTAAATATAACACTTTATGATATAGATTGCTAGACTCTTAGTTCTAGCATGGGGGCCGGAGTGTATAAGTTCGATACGTTCCACCACAACTTTCCAATACTCGTCAATCACGGATGCTGATTGGCACACTGGCATCTCCTCTACAACTCCCTTGGCGGACACCGTAGTGAGCGGATCGCCGCTGGTTATTGGTTGTTGGCGGTAGACTCACCTTGCTCTCATTGGAAGTAGTTGTAGTTGTAATAATATACAGACATGGGACCCTCAGCGGTCACTCAGAACCTCTGCGTTCACTTGTCTGTATTTGCATATGTATTAGGAATAGACAAGGGATCCTCTGCGATCACTTAGAACCTCTGTGTTCACGTGTCTTTTAGGAACGAAAGCATCCACACACGGCCCCTGCCGCCACCCCAAATTACATAAAGGTAATTTTGGTTGTTTATACGAAAATAGAGAATACGAATACAACTATGAATTTAATTTAAAATCTAATTAATTATTTCTTGTGTTTTATTTCTTGCAAATTCTCTTTCTTTCTTTGCTCACCCCACGCGCGAATCACCCGCACCACATCTCTCAACTACACAACACCTCACATTATAATAACTCTGGGGAGTTATCATTGTTGTTGCTACCGCTGTCGAAGCCTTTCCCCCACTCCCCTGAGTTAAACAGCCTGCTCCCGAAATGCCCTTTTGTGTCAAAAAAGAAAATTTCACGAATACTCACTGTGATGTTTTTTCCGGGTCTCGATGTTGTACCTTGTTTGTTGTTGTGCTGCTTGTGTCCGTCCTGCTGCTGGTTCCAAAATTCTCCGTGTTGTCGTTGTTTTTTGTGTCACTGTATATTGTCTCTTGTATATCACTTTTTAACGTCTTTTCTGTAACACTGTGTATCGTCTTTTTTTGTATAAAGAATTTAATGCCACTTTTTATTAATTTTTTAGATTTTATATTTTTAAAAATGAAGAAAAAATTTAATTTTTCTAAAATTTAAAAAAAAAAATTATTTTTTTGTAGCACTGTGTAATTCACTTTTTGTTGCACTGTGTACTGTCTATTTTTTGTGATTTTTTTTTCAAAGTTAATTTTTTTCTAAACTTTTTTACTTTGCACTTATTTTTGCGCCCCACTGTATATTTCACTTTTTTTCTCACTGTTCTTGTCTGTCTGTCCACTCACAAATTGTTCTATTTTTTTTTTTTTTAATAATTTAAACAACTTTCATTTTTTGATCCGGCTCTGGAGGACCAAATGTTTTTAGGCTTACCTTTTTGCCTTTGAGCCTTTTTCCCTTTGAAAGATATATATTTTTTCGTTTTCAATTTTAATTCAAAATCTTTTATTTATCTATTTTCTTAATAACATTTTTGGGGGTTTTGTGATCTTGCGTTCGCGACGGTAATTCGATTAGAACTAACTATTGCCAAATTTGTATCGTCACATCAAACCAGTTTGGCTGTTGACGATGCTTATTTATTTCATTATTTCAACATTGGAATTTACCGGTGGCTGCATCAATGTATGTGTATATGTGTAGGTGTATATATCATTTACATCATTTTGTTTTGATGTAATATATGCACCCGCCGGTAAATACCCAACTAACAGTGTTGGGGAAAATTGCATAAATTTATGAACACAGGGAGACGACTAATTTCTTTTATAACCTCAAGTGTAACTGGAGGTTGCATCACCTCCTCTTGAATCGCATCGACACGGTTGCTGGTAGGACACATACTTTAAGCGTCCAGATGTGACACCTTTCGTTCTAGTATATTGATTTTCTCCAGGAGAGCATTCAATGCCTCGTGATTGCTGCCACGTTTGATCTTAATTCTTCCATATTGTGATATATTTTAAATTAAAAAAGGGGCTACAACCGATAATTAGTAACTGCATGTGTGGAGAAATTCGATTTCCCCCCCTTATTTGTAAGGAATTTATAAACTAGACAGTTTCGTCCCACAATTATTTTTATTTTTCTTTCTTTTTTATTTTTTGATAACAGTTTTATCTTTTAAGTGGTTCTTCTTTCATTTACAATTCCGTTTCAATTTTGCACTTTTGGGGACTTTATTTATTTTATTTGTTTATTTATTTATTATTATTAATATATTTAGAACAGTGTGGCTTGTTGGTTCGGGATACCGTAGTATTTTGTTGTTGCAAAATGGTCAGGCTTATCCCTTTATTGTTGTTTTTATTAAAACAACTTTTGTTTATTAGTGGAGAATATATTTTTTTATTTTGATTAAGGTTTTATTTATTTATTTTAGTTTACTGAAAAAAACTCCACTTCACGATTTTAAAAGGAATTAATACAACGATAGAGATTGCTGCGACACAAGGTTTGCGTTACGGAAGTATTTGCTTTGTATAGTATATTTTTTATAGATCTAATTAGTAATCTGAAACTTTTGACATTTTTCTTTTTCGTTGCCATTTTATTTTTTTTTTTTTTTGTATATAAAATTTGATTTGTCCATAGGTTCTATTTTTGGTTTTAACAGTTTAAAACTGTCTTAAATAGTTTTCGTATAGTCATACAGGTTTTTGGAGCTAAACAATAATTGGCGCCCAAAAATATTTGTTGTTTTTTGTCTTTTTTTAAATAATTTTTGTATTATTGCGGAACTACAATGAGTGGACTGAGATAAGTTCAAATTCAATAATGCTATAATTTATTTGCTATTGTCACTATTTAAATGCACATTTCACGACTTTATTAATCTTTAGTGCCTTCTGCAAAAAGGGAAAATAGGTCGAATCAAAAAAATAAAGAACAAGTATGCGTTAATCAAAAATGATTTTCCCTGTAGGCCTTATTGCGACAATAAGAACTTTACTGACACATAAACAGTTAAAACGAACAAAAGCTGCATACTAAACTCTATAAAATATCTAAATTAAAATGCAATATCTAAACTAAAATGTAAATTTATAATAATTGAAATATTACGAGTGTTTAATCTAAACTCTAAAGAATTCAAATTAAATAAATATTAAATATTATTACCTTAGAAATTTGGGAACAATTTTAGTTGAGTAAAAACTCTTCGATTTTTTCGAAATTTTTTCCAGAGGTAGGTATTTTTACCCTGATTCCGGGGAAATATCTTTTTCTTGGGGTACGGAACTGGGACCCCAGATTTTTGACCCGAAACTCTGAGTTCAAGACCCGGGCTAAGCCCTGATCCACTTACCCGATATAGAAAGGAGTTTTTAATAACTAGCGTTAAGCCGAAATTTGTATAAAATATTACTAAAGATAAAATGTAATTAATGAAATTATACAATTAAAACCTACATAATCTTACATTGTTTAAAAAATGAAAGAAATGTTCTCCCTATTTACTCTTAACTTTATGAGAAAAATCCCTTGAGATTATTTATCGCAGGTTGAATTATCTATTTCAATGAAACAAAAGTTTTTGTTGGTTCCACAATATCTAAAATTTTATTCCCAGTTTACTAAATACATACTCTTTAAGTGGTTGATAGTATTGATATCGTAAACTAATCATTTCTGGTAAATTGCGAACATTCTGAAGGAAATTAGACTTGGACTCTATCACAAATATTGCAAACACTGTCATTAATATTATAACACACATCACCGATGGAATAAATGCATTGATGAAACGGAATTTTCGTATGGGCTTTGCACTTTTAGAGGACTTCTGGTGTATAATATTTTGAGCGATTTTTGTAGATCCAAAAACACTATTATCTATATTTTTGTTTAGTAAATATGTTTTCGAGCTATCTAAATTAGCTTTATTATTCTTGTTCAGTTCAGTCGCTGAAGGTTTAGACATAGTAGGTGAATATACTACGTTGTCTTCACATCTCAAATAATAATTAATGCTGTCGTGATTGGTTTTATTTAATTTAGAGGAATATATTAATTTCGATTCCTCCGAAACGGGTTCAAGGCATGGGAGCTGTATTATTGGCGTATCTGTGTCACCGTAGCCCTGGCCTTGGTATAAAACAATGTTATGTGCACAATCAGATCCTGGCACTTTGCAATAAGTTAATGGTTCCGACATCGTAGATCGCGGTAAACTGCTGTATCCTGAATAAAAAATGGATTAGTATTAAAAAGATGGTTAAAAAGAGATCAAATACTTATTTGCTCAAAGTCACCCGGAGGACTAGACGGCGTTGCAGGCACACTGCTGGCCTTTCTATTATTTATTCCTGAACTGTTTAATTTTTGTTCGCGCAGTGCATTTATACTCTCAGTGAGAATTTCGCGTTCAGTTCGACCTGTATATTTAAATTTTGTTCCCCACGAAAAAAAACCTCCACCTGATACAACAGCAGCATTTTGGCTATTAGGGAGTCTGCAAATAAAATAGAAATAAAAGCAGTTAACAATTTGTTTTATATTTATACTCTACGCCGCTCTACTTAATTAATTGTTGATATAATTTAAATTACTTCGGTAAATATCGAAATGTCTTGGCAATTTAGCGACGAAAAAAAAAATATATATGCAAATGTGTAATAAATATTGTAAAGGATTTGGCCAAAAAAAAAAAATAATGATAATATCTGATGTTCTGCATTAAAGATAACCTATATGTTCAATATGAGGACAAGATATATGAAGGAAAGAAACGACCACCAGCCTCTCCGATCGTAAGACGGAACATGTGATATTGACGGAGTTGTAGGCAATTTATTTATAGTTTTATTCTAAAATCTAGCCTAGTAACTATCTTAAGGATATTTTCCATGCGATAATTATAGGTTTACCGCTAAATTGAGCGCCATTCTCAAACTCTTTGAATTCTTTCACAGATATTATATATTTAATTAACGTTGATGATGTGTTAACGATTCAATCTCCTCAAAATCACATAACGATTCAATCTCCTTACAATACAATGTACACTCCCTTGTAAACTGTTGTAACACAAATTATATATCTCTTAATCTAAAATATTACTGGGTTCTTACAAATCTTTTGATGAGTCGGGTGTATTCTTAGATCCTAATCTTTGTTTTCATTTGCATATTCATTTTTGCGTTAACAAAGATAATCTTTACTAGGCTTCATGATCCTTATGTAACTAAAGAATATTGTTAGTCTGGTTCGTCCAGTATTAAAATATGGCTTTATATAGTGTAGCCCATTTGATAAAATTGAATCAGTACAAATTCAGTTTTTAATTTTAGCTTTTTTATTGGAGCCGGTTATTGAAAAAATTTTGAACTTAAAACCCAATCCGTGAAAAAATGTGGCAAAAATCATTAAAATACCAAAAATCGGGAGTTACCGTTATATGGGGGCTATACCAAATCGTGGACCCATTGGAGCGCATAAAAATACTTAAAAAAGGATTTCACACTACTAGAAATAAGAACTTATTCGGCAGCAATTTCTGGCCGAATAAGTTCTTATTTCTAGTAGTGTGAAATCCTTTTTTAAGTATTTTGATGCGCCACAAAAATGATTAAAATACCAAAAATTGGGAGTTACCGTTATATGGGGGCTATACCAAATCGTGGACCCATTGGAGCGCATCAAAATACTTAAAAAAGGATTTCACACTACTAGAAATAAGAAGTTATTCGGCCAGAAATTGCTGCATTAATATATACAGGATGAGATGAAAAAACTGCTACAAACTTGAGACTGCCGACATTTCTTAGCCACTCGTCCGACAACTGTTAAAAGGAAGGAAGTGGACGGAAGAAAACAACAATATATATATATATATATATATATATATATATAAATGGCCCGCGTTTTCACATATATATATATATATATATATATATATATATATATATATATATATATATATATATATATATATATATATATATATATATATATATATATATATATATATATATATATATATGTGAAAACGCGGGCCATTTACGAACTTAACCTGCCTACTGGCAAAATACACAAAATTCTAGCCTTCTATTTCCATTCGTTCGAAAGGTAGAGTGATTACAACAGCCACACATGAGTATGATGGGTATAAAAGTAAAAAATATTAGGGAATATAAACCCATTTCGACCCAATTTGTCAAAAGTATTTTTAAGCTGTATTTGATACCACATACCAAATATCATTGTTATGGAGTTTATATTACGACTCTGAAGGGTCTAAATCTCAAATCGGTTGAATAAAAAACATTCATCTATATTCTTGCCGATTCGAAAGAAGTTTGGCAGACCATGTTGCAAAAACTTAATATGGAGTTTTAAATTATTCCGTCAGAAATTTATTATTTTAGTATTTTTATTATTTAAAGTGGTTACAAACGGAATTACATTGTTAATATGCAATCCATATAAAATGAAGATGTTTAAATTGATTTGTTTAAAATAATATTCTTTATAAACTGTATTTAATAAATTTTTTACACCTGAAAAAGTTCCATCTTCGAATGTGCCAGGTTTGTTCAGTACTGATTTTCCACTTTACATTTTCTATTATTTTTATTACTTTCATTACACCTTACACTGTGTTGCAGGGGTTTATGAATTTATGCAATTGTCTGTAACAAGCAAAATGAGACAATATTGACCCATATTTCCTTTTGTGGATTTTTTCATTCTACTTATGAAAGTTCGTCTGTCGGTTTATCTATTCTTGTGAACAAAGTCGCAGTGACTCAAACAGGAAATTGGTTATAATAGGTTCGATTTGGTTATATGTCCCGTATATCTTGATCCGATTTCAAGTTAATTGTGCACCAAAATGTGCAATGATAGTCCAAATGAATTGGATTTTAATATAATAGATAGACCGAACACACAAAACTCTATTTGAGAGAATAAATTGAATTTTGGATTATATAATCAAGTTCCGAGTAGAATAAAATTTTTCAAGTGTGGACCAAATCGATATAGCTCCGACATATATGTTTCACTCGATTTTATATTTAGAGAAGGTTTAAATATAAAATCGAGTAAAACATATATGTGGGATTTTGGTCATAGCATTCATCCAAGATATTTTGTAGGTAAGGTCAAATACAGCGTAAAACTAGTGTCTAATTTATTGTGAATAAATTATAAATTGTTGGTTTTGTGGAATATGCTTAATAAGCAACTTCGCCCTTCAGAATTTGCTTATTAAGCAATATGAAATGCAATATTTGATTACTAAGTTATACATAACAAGTAAAAACGTTCGGCCGAGGAAAAGGAAACCTTAAAAAATAATAGGATCGGAATGGAATATTTGCCCCAACTTCCATTTGTGCTAGTGAATTTCGCTGGTAAAAATTCTTACAAGTGCCGTAAAGTCGATGGTACCAATTTCCAGCTAAAGAGGTTGTGAAAGTGTCAATTACCAAGTAAAACAACGTCTACTAAAAAATGTGGCCAAAATTACTCAAATGCCAAACATTTGGAGGTACCGCCTTATGAGTGATAAATAAATAAAAACAAACAATAAGTTTGGCCGGGCCGAAATTTTGATACCCTCCACCTCAGGATAAATGAAACATTAGAACCCATTATGACCATTATGACAAATACCAATTTTTAGACATATTCGTGAGAAAACGTGGCAAAAATCATCCAAAATATCCAATCTCGGGAGGTACCGCTATATGGGACTATGCAAAAACGTGAACCTATACATACAATGTTTCGCCAACGGAGCTACAAACCATTATGACCAACAAATAATAATCTTTAGAAAAATCCGCGAAGAAATGTGACCAAAACCATCAAAATACCACATATCGGGAGGTATCATTATATAGACGCTATATCAAATAGTAAAACTATACATGCAATGTATCGCCAACGGAACTAGAACCCATTATGATCAACAAATAGCAATTTTTAGACAAATCCGTGAAAAAATGTGGCAAAAATCATTAAAATACCAAAAATCGGGAGTTACCGTTATATGGGGGCTATACCAAATCGTGGACCCATTGGAGCGCATCAAAATACTTAAAAAAGGATTTCACACTACTAGAAATAAGAACTTATTCGGCAGCAATTTCTGGCCGAATAAGTTCTTATTTCTAGTAGTGTGAAATCCTTTTTTAAGTATTTTGATGCGCCACAAAAATCATTAAAATACCAAAAATCGGGAGTTACCGTTATATGGGGGCTATACCAAATCGTGGACCCATTGGAGCGCATCAAAATACTTAGAAAAGGATTTCACACTACTAGAAATAAGAACTTATTCGGCCAGAAATTGCTGCATTAATATATACAGGATGAGATGAAAAAACTGCTACAAACTTCAGACTGCCGACATTTCTTAGCCACTCGTCCGACAACTGTTAAAAGGAAGGAAGTGGACGGAAGAAAACAACAATATATATATATATATATATATATATATATATATATATATATATATATATATATATATATATATATATATATATATATATATATATCAATGTATATATATATATATATATATATATATATATATATATATATATATATATATATATATACATATTTCACTTTGCAGTAATTTCTCTTTCAGTAAGCAGAAGACCAATACACTACTAATAAAGAGGGGATGTTTGACATTGCTTTTAAAATGGTAAGATTACATTAAAACCTGCACCAAAGAAACCAAACTTACAAACTAACTAACGAACTGATATCTTAATTGAATTATTATTAAATTATCTTTGAGTTCTGTGACAATATAAAGGAAGAAGTATGGTGAGACACAGCAATAAGAATGAAACATTAAACAAGTTTGAAAAAAAAACACTTTGAAAAAAGAAGATATAACATAGTACTATATATTGGAGGCATTAAACAGTGCTACAAAGAACAACAACACAAAGATGCGGAGACAGCAGCTAGATAACGACGAAGCCAAGAAGCCCATATAACGTTTGATGATTTTAGGCATAATTTTCAATGGAATTGTATGAAGTTCCGCACAAGGAGTTCTTCGTGAACACTTTACTCCCTGAAAGAGAATTCTCTATATAGGTCGACGATATCATATATCCCCCATATAACGGTGCCCCCCGATATTCGGTATTTTGATGACAAAGATTACATTAAAACCTGCACCAAAGAAACCAAACTTACAAACTAACTAACGAATTTATATCTTAATTAAATTATTATTAAATTATCTTTGAGTTCTGTGACAATATAAAGGAAAAAGTACGGTGAGACACAGCAATAAGAATGAAGCATTAAACAAGTTTGAAAAAAATTGAACACTTTGAAAAAAAAAAAAAGATATTACATAGTACTATATATTGGAGGCATTAAAAAGTGCTACAAAGAACAACAACACAAAGATTGCGGAAAAGTAGCAGAACAAAAAAATCACCTTCCGAGACCCCATAACGAATCGAAGTGAGTCAG